GGAGGTAAGTCTGCCATAGCGGCCACCTGCTTCTGGGGACCCCCACCCCCAGGATGGCTGGCCAACCATGCCCAGCTACCACCAGGGGGCGCCAGAGGAGCACAGCTGCATGGGCAGGGGCTCAGTGGGTGATGATGACACATCCTGGTGGCATCCTCCCCAGAGGCCCCTACCCCAGATCTGGAGGGCAGCTTGTGACTCACCCAGCTGGAAGCTCTCCGAAGACACCAAACCCCTCCCTCAGGCAGGGCTAGCTGGGTCAGCAGGGTCACTGTGGGGGAAGGTGGTATGTTCTCACTGCCTCTGTGCCAGCCTTTCTCTGTCTTGTAGTCTGTCCCCCTGCTCCCCCCATCTCTCTCTTTCTCTGTCTCCTTGCCCTTGGATCTCTGCTTATCTTGCTGTCTCTCTTGGTCTCTGTGTCTCCCCGCCTTCCTCCAGAATCTCTGCTCCTCATCTCTGGTTAACGTCCCCCCTCCCCAATCCTGCCTCTTCCTACTTTGGTCTATTTTTAGCCATCTCCTAGTTTGGGGAGAGTTTTCTGGCCTAAGATGGCAGGAACCCAGAGTCCCAGCTGGTGGGCAGGCTGGGTGGAGGCCGGGTGGGGCAGGCAGTTTCCCACCCTCACTGAGTCCCTGCTTTCTTGGTACATGGAATTACTCTCATAGGGTAGCATAACCCAGGCCCTGGGTATTGGGGGTTCTGACCTCTAACCTCTCCCATGACTTTGTATCTCTGTCCCCCCCTGCACACCCCTCGGCTGTACCATGTCCTCCCTACCCCACCGGGATCTGCCTTGGTGAGTGAACATGGAGCCACCCTGCTTTCTTTCTGGTTAGAGGGTCGTGTCCTTGGGGGCAGAGAGGCTTTCTTTGTCCAATCTTAGGGCTGGAAGTAGGGTGAGGGGAAAGCCCAGGAACAAGCCTCTGTCCCAGAGTGAGACAGAGCCATACCTTCCCTCAGTCACTTAAGCATTTATTAGGCACTTGCTGTATACCCAATTGCACATGCACTGGGGACATACCTGTGAACAGTACAGCCCCAATCCTGATTTTACACTGAGATCCGTGCCTTGATGTTCTAAGGGTCCCTTGCCTTTTCCCATGACCCAATGTTCTTGAGATCCTCAAGAGATACCTCAATTGTGATGTTCCCAGGGGTCCCCTTTGCCCATCTCTTCCCCATCTCTATCTCATCAGGATGCCACTCTCTGCATCCTGCCCTTTGTGGCTCGAGGCCACCTATCTCTTGGGCAGGGATACCTGGGAGGAGGCCTCCCAGGCAACCACATCCTTCCTCACAGCCCCAGCGTGTGTTTGGGACCTATTTCCGCGTGGGATTCTATGGTGCCCGCTTTGGCGACCTGGATGAACAAGAATTCGTGTACAAAGAGCCATCAATCACCAAGCTGGCAGAGATATCACACCGACTGGAGGCATGTTCTTGCTATGGGGGGTGGGACAGGGCATGGGGCTGCCCTGGGGCTGGAGTAGGGGCTGTGTACACCTGGGTAGCCCCAAGCCAGCTCTATGTTTCCAGGAGTTCTACACAGAGAGGTTTGGGGATGATGTGGTGGAGATTATCAAAGACTCAAACCCCGTGGACAAGTCTAAGTTGGACCCACAGAAGGTGGGTCTTCCTGGCCATTTCCCCAAAATCCTGTATTCAAAGAGACTCCAAGTACTATTTCCTGGGAACCCTCAAATCCTAGTTCTCTGGGAAACTCTAACTCTTATCTCTTTGGGGACCCCAAGTCCGGTTTCTCAGAGAATTCCCAACATAGGAAGATCTGGGGAGTCCCAGATTCAAAGCCCCCAGACCTGGAGAGGCCAAGATCCCTTTTTCACCAGGGACAAGGCCTGGCTAGTATGTGTTGTGGCCATGGGATCCTCACCCCTGACCCTATGCTGCAGGCCTACATCCAAATCACATACGTAGAACCGTACTTTGATACCTACGAGCTTAAGGACCGAGTGACCTACTTTGACCGCAACTACGGGCTGCGCACCTTCTTGTTCTGCACACCCTTCACACCAGATGGGCGCGCACATGGGGAGCTACATGAGCAGCACAAGCGCAAGACGTTGCTCAGCACCGACCACGCCTTCCCCTACATCAAGACGCGCATCAGCGTGTGCCACCGGGAGGAGGTGGACAGGGACCCCAGACCCAGAGAGTCTCAGAGATTCCAGACTTAGAAAGGGGAGGCAGAGGGACCCCAAATCTAGGAAGGATCAGGGAAGAGAGGCACAGGGACCCCAGAACCCAGGGTGGCTCAGAGATTTCAGATCCAGGGAAGAAAGAGACATAGAGACCACAAACCCAAGAATTGGCCTATACACACCAGAACCAGGTTAGGGACCTAAAATTCTTATCTCTAAACTCAAATCTATACCTCCAAACCCAGCAAGCCCTGCAGATGCCAGACATAGAGCCCCCAGATTCCTCAGGGCACCATACCCAGCAGGCCCAAGGCTGAGACTAGGCCAACTAGAACTAGACCAAAGCTTCCTGAGTACAGACTGAGGCAGGCAGACTCCCCCACATTCCAATCATTGCTTAGCCTCTTGGACCCTTCTGCCCCCAGCAGGGTCTGAGCTGCCCTGGTCTGGCTGGGTCAGGACACCTTCAAGCCCTAATGAATGTGTATCCCCCAACCCACCAGACAGTGCTGACCCCTGTTGAAGTGGCCATTGAGGACATGCAAAAGAAAACACGGGAGCTGGCCTTTGCCACCGAGCAGGACCCACCTGATGCTAAGATGTTGCAAATGGTGCTGCAGGGCTCTGTGGGGCCCACCGTGAACCAGGCACGGCTGGCAGAGGGGTGGGTATGGACTACCTACAGGAGTCCAGATGCCATGCAGACCTGCTCTGAAGTCCCTCTCAACCCCACAGGGTCCCCTGGAGGTGGCCCAGGTGTTTTTGGCAGAGATCCCAGAAGACCCCAAACTCTTCCGGCATCACAACAAACTGCGCCTCTGCTTTAAGGACTTCTGCAAGAAGTAGGCCCGAAAGTCCCGGTTGTGGCTGTCTGTATACCTGATTCCTATGGTGTCCCCTCTCCCTATCTGAGCCACTGACCCCCACAGCTCCTAACCCCACTGCAGGGGTCTCTCTGCATGCCTGGCTCTACCTTCTGGATTACCACCCATGTTTGAGCTTGCATTCTTTCCTGGGTGCCAGTCCCTGAGCATCTCCGGCCCTTCTGGCCCTCAGGTGTGAGGATGCGCTACGGAAGAACAAGGCCCTGATTGGGCCGGACCAGAAGGAGTACCACCGCGAGTTGGAGCGCCACTATGGCCGCCTGCGCGAGGCCCTGCAGCCCCTGCTCACCCAGCGCCTGCCTCAGCTTCTGGCCCCAGCCCCAGCCCCAGCCAGCCTCAGGTGCCTAACCAGGCTCCCCTACCCTAGAGACTAGAGTAGGCAAGTCAGAATAGATACAGAAGGGGGGCTGTCTTACATGTACATGGCAACACGTGCACTTGTGGCTTTGGCTTTGCACAAGTATCTGAATATGTCATGCAGGTAAACAGAGGCAGGCCAATTCCCAGACACATGAAGTCATCTTTCTAAGCCTTAGTCTTCGCATCTGTAAAATGAGTATGATTCAAAACTCTCATGGTAGATTCTAAGAGAGAATCAGTGAATCCCAGAGCAGATCAGGATGGATGTGAAAGGGACAGGAGAGATCCTAGAAAGATTCTTGAAAGAGGAGGAGGGCTAAGGAGCACTACAGCATAGGGGTCCCGGTGCCCATGCTGACTCAACCCATTCCTCTCCCAGGAACACTTTGAACAGAGCAAGTTTCGGAAAGGCAGACCTCTGAGCCAGCTGGGCCTGAAGCCACACCTGGAGGAACTAGCACCCAAGCCTCAGCTGTCTGTGCTTTAATGGAAGTACTCCCCACTGCCCACTTGGCCATGGGGTAACCACGTTGTACTTGGGGCTGTGCCTTCTGTCCCTATCTGTTTCCATCTGTGTGCATTGATACTCCCTACCTTTGTTAATTTAAAATGGTTTTTATAAGCAACACTAGCAGTGTGGTGTGATCACTAGGACTTTCCTGTGCTCAGAGTCCATTCCTCTATATATATCCACACATGGTACATTGAGACACAGAGCACTGGTGTCAGGGACTCAGTGGTGACAACAGACGCAAATTTCTGCCCGTGGGGAGCTGACAGAGAAGGCAATACACAAGTAACTTTACCATGACTATGTCTTTGCTGAGTCCTAAATGGCTCTCAGATCTCTGCAAAAGTAGGCCAATCACTAATGGACCTTTTTATCCAAGGAGCCAGCCTCCTTTAGGCCACTACCTAATCTCATCTCTGCACCCCTACCATGTAGGCAACATGATAATCCCCTTTTTACTGATGGAGAAACTGTTCTGTACACAGAACATCAAAAGCTTGGTGGATCTGGGATTGGAGTCCAGGACGGGCTGGTCTGCAACCTCCCGAGCAGCCCTAAAATGAAACAACCCCTTCCCGTGGCGGTCACGCCACAGTGTACCCGGCCGGCCCGCCCGCCCTGGGCTGCTTCCAGCTCTGGGCTGCCTGGGGGATGGGTGACCTCCCGCCGCCGCCACCACTGCCCGCCCTCCGCGCCCTCCCAGAGCTGGGCCCCCGCCAGTCCTGCCCCTCCCGCCGCAGCTGAGCTGTCCCGTCCCCCCCACAGCGGCCCAGCTGCAACCTGGGAAGCCAGCAGTAGGGAGGACCGTGCCTCAGCGACTTGGGGGGAGGAGGGATGGCGAGGCAGGACACGCCGGCGCGCGCTTAACACCTGCTGGCCAGGTGAGATCGAGTCCCCCCAACCCCTACTCTGCATCCCCGACCCCCACTGCGGGCGCCCGGGCGGAGGGAGAGGGAGGGGCTACCCAGAGGGGGCGGGCCCTGCGGAGGGGCGGGGCTACCGCCCGGGGCCCAGCGGCGGAGCTGCGACTACCGCGCCGGGAGGACACTGGAGGCAGGACGCAGGGATAGCGGTGTCCAGAGCGCGCCAGGCGAGTAGGACCCGGACTGTGTCGGGATTCGCGTCTGGTTTGGCGTTCGAGTATGGCTCCCTGACCTTGCCCCGCTTCCCAATCCCGGGGCACGAACGACCTCGCCGGTCTCTACAAGCCCCTCTGCTCCAGCTCCAGGCTCGCAAACTTTCCCAACTTGGAGTGCCTCGGTCTCCGCGTCACTGCCCCCTCCCCGTCTTTGACCCGGTTCCGCTATCCGTTCCTTGTCCCCTGCCCTTCTGCCCCCCTCCTGCCTTCCTCTGCCCCTCTTCTCATGTTTATCCCCATGTATGTTTCTGTCTTCTCCGGCACCGTCCCCCATCGCCCTCCTCCACGGCGGGGCCAAAGCCAGGCCCCAGGCGGCGGGAAGACGGCAGCGCGTCTGGCCGGGCGTGGGGAGCGGCAGCTGTTTGCCATTAGCCGGGGACCCCGCGGGCCCCCGCCCCCTCCCTGTACGGGGCGGGGTCCTTCTTGGCCAGAAGTTTGGGGGTGGGGAGAGGGCAGAGAAGACCCTGGAGATGTCCAAGCCATTCAGGGTGGGCTTTAAGGAGACCCACCCTCCTTCGCTGATTCCCAGCCTGTCTGCTCTTGGAGCCCCCGGTGTCTCCATCTTTCTGTCCTATCCTGTCTACCCCTCTTCCATTCCCCCTAGAGGTCCCATAGAGAGAGAAGGGCCTCAATCACAGAAATCCCACCCCCACCATACACCCTCACCTCCTTTCTCTTCTCTCCCTTGAGTCACTGGTCCATAAGGATGGTGATCAGATGACTTGGTACTCTCAGACCTCCCTCAATCTCTCCATCTGGGAAATGGGTAAAGGGGTGTGTTGTCTAGGGGAAGTGCCTTGGTGGGCAGGCTTAGGTTCAAGTCCAGGTCCAGTCACCTCTCTAGGGCCCTAGTGACCCTGGGCAAGTCACTGTACCTTTCTGTGTCCCATTTATCTTTAAAACGGGGTAATAACTACCCACCTGGAGGTAGAGTTGTCATGAGGATGAAAAGAGTTGATGATATTGTTATGACTGTGTTAATTGTGTTAACCCTTCCCTCCACTTCTAGCAGCACCCCCCACACACACATACTTCCTGGCTATTCCACTCCTGCTTCCTGCCTCTAGATCTCTTCAGGTCCCCAGAAAATATTTTTGATCAACTTCCTATTGCTCAGAGGGTGAGCTACTGGGCAAATGGAAACCCAAATTTCTTATAATTGGTGACCATGTGTGTTCCAGGTGTTGAAAGTCAGAGAAGTAAGGAAAGTGACGTGGAGAGACGTGGAGAGAAACACAGAGAGACAGAGACGTGGAGAGACACAAAGAGACTTGGAGAGAAACTAAGCAAGGCACTAAACAGGATAGTACGTAACAAGGACAAGCTCTACAAGGACAAGCTCAGCTACCCCTGAAGCCCTAGCCCTGCCTTCATGCGCAGCAGGTGCCCCACCTGGTCCATCCCTCCCAGGTACCCACCACTCTAGCACCCACAAGTTGGAAAAGGTCTCCTTTGGTGGTAGAATGGTCAGGGGTCTCTGTAGCATGATGACTATAGGTCAGACAGAAGAAAGGACTGACCAAATTCAAGAGGGTTATATAGGGGACAAAAGAGTCCTGGCCAGCCTCCAGGACTAAGTGAGGCTTAGTGAGAGGCCCTGATTGTCCCTGCCTTTTGCAGCCTCCAGGCACCCTCTCTACTTCCTCCCCCCACCCCATGACTTCCTAGGCCTCCGCCCCACACTCTGGCCATCTATCCCTGCAGCTGTATCAGAGCCCGGACACATCCTGGGAGGGCAGGAAGTTCTATGTAGCCCAGCAGTGAAATTGTTTATTTTTAGAGAAAATTGTTTCCATAAAGGGGAAAGGCTTCACTCCTTGCTGTCTCCCCCACTTTCTCTATCCTGCACCTCAGGCCCACCCTGATCAACTACTCTGCTTTGGGATCATTTGGGGTCCCCCACACCCTGCTCTATCTCTCTTTGTCCCTGTGTCTCTGTCTCCTCAGATCCTTGTAGGAAGGCTGTCTCCCCCCTACACCCATTAGCGCCCAGCCCCCACTTTCCCTGTGGCTAGTTCTGGGCCTGGGCTGAGGGGATGGGATGCAGGAAGGGTGGGGCCTATTGAGTTTGGGGCCCCCGGTCCAGGGGCCATGTGGAGGCAGGGCTACAAGAACAGCTGGAGCCTGTCCAGGGGCTAGACAGATGTGTGAGCAGGCAATGAGGTTTGGTTTCTTTGTTCCAGGCCTCAGGGTAACCCCCTACTTCCACCTCTTAGCCAGGCGGGTGTGGGCCTGTGAGAGAGTCCCAGGCCTAGGGGGAGGCCTCATCTGCTCTCCTCCCCCTGCAAACTCCTCCTGACTCCTGTCTCCTTGGTTCCCTCTCCCCAGGTAAGACTCAGCCAGTGCTGCAGGCAGTCTGACTCCCAGTCCCCTGAGTGACTTCTGAGGATCATCTACAGGCAAGAAGATGGCTCAAGTTCTGCACGTGCCAGCCCCCTTCCCAGGTCAGGGGTGTCAGGGGGAAGAGGGCCCTTACTTAAGGGAATTGAGGGTAGGACACAACCTAGCATTGGGGGGTCTGATGGGGGAGGCACAGCTCTGCCTTGGGGGTCTGACACTAGAAACACAGTTGAGGGCCTGGTAGGCTCCTGTCTGTTGAGCAGGTAAACCCTGACTGCCTGGGCACGGGTCTTCATCCCAAGATTGAGGACAATAGTATTCAGAGGCACTGCTGTTTCTCCCCACCCCAGGGACCCCTGGCCCAGCTTCCCCACCCTCCTTCCCTGCCAAGGAGCCAGACCCACCCTACTCAGTGGAGACACCCTATGGCTACCGCATCGACCTGGACTTCCTTAAGTACGTCGATGACATTGAGAAGGGCCACACTCTGCGGCGGGTGGCTGTGCAGCGCCGCCCACGTCTGGGCTCGCTGCCCCGTGGCCCTGGCTCCTGGTGGACGTCCACTGAGTCACTTTGCTCCAATGCCAGTGGAGATAGCCGCCACTCAGCCTACTCCTACTGTGGCCGTGGCTTCTATCCCCAGTATGGAGCCCTGGAAGCCCGTGTGGGCTTCAATCCCCGAGTGGAGCGCACACTGCTGGATGCCCGTCGCCGCCTCGAGGACCAGGCAGCCACACCCACTGGCTTGGGTTCCCTGACACCTAGTGCAGCTGGCTCAACGAGCTCTCTGGTGGGTGTAGGGCTGCCACCCCCAACTCCCCGGAGCTCAGGACTGTCTACACCGGTGACGCCCAGTGCTGGGCACCTAGCACACGTGCGGGAGCAGATGGCAGGTGCCCTGCGGAAGCTTCGGCAGCTAGAGGAGCAGGTAAAGCTGATTCCTGTGCTCCAGGTGAAGCTATCAGTGCTACAGGAGGAAAAGCGGCAGCTCACAGTGCAGCTGAAGAGCCAGAAGTTTCTGGGCTACTCCACAGGGACTCGTGGCCGCAGCGAGCTCTGCCTGGACCTCCCTGAGCCCCCTGAAGACCCAGTGGCACTCGAGACCCGGAGTGTGGGTACCTGGGTCCGAGAGCAGGACTTAGGCCTGCCCGATGGGGAGGCAGCCCTTGCTGCCAAGGTTGCCGTGCTGGAGACCCAACTCAAAAAAGCACTACAGGAGCTGCAGGCAGCTCAGGCCCACCAGGCCAACCCCCAGCCCCAGGCCTGGCCACTGCCAGACTGCCCGGTCCGTGTCGACACCGTCCGAGTAGTGGAAGGGCCACGGGAGGTGGAAGTAGTGGCCAGCACTGCTGCTGGGGCCCCTGCACAGCGGGCCCAGAGTCTGGAGCCTTATGGGGCTGGTCTGCGGGCTCTGGCGACATCCAGCAGGGCAGAGAGCCCTCCTGTATTCTGCAGCCATGAGGTAGTGGAGACGATGTGCCCAGTGCCCACTGTATCCAACAGCAACTTCCACGCAGTGAAGAAAATCAGCATCTCAGAGCGAAGCTGTAGTGGCCCAGCAGGTGAGTGATCATAGGCAAGGTCCAGCCCCAGCCCTAGTCTTCTACTGGACAGATCACTCTGGCTTCTGGAATTATCTCTTCATCCATAAGAGAGGGAGAATTGTGCTACTGACTTCAGGGCTATAGGGACCATGCAGAGAATTAGGTGTCTGGAGGTATCTGGGGGAAATTCCCCCAAGGCTACTTTTTTGCTGGGCAGAAACCTTCCCTGTTTATTGAGTGGGTGGCAGGAGTCAATCTAAGACAAGTTGAAGAAATGAAAAGAAAATGCACTGTTCATGTAACTTTGGGACAGCTTCAGGTATAAGTGGATCCAGGTGCTCAAATAGCATGAGTCTTACACTCTCTTTCTCTTCTTCTGTTTATCTTAGGGTGTCTCTTTTTTTTGTTTTAGATGTAGTTTCACTTTGTCTTCCTGAGTAGAGTGCTGTAACATCATAGCTCACAGCAACCTCAAACTCTTGGGCTCATGTGATCTTCTTGCTTTAGCCTCCCAAGTAGCTGGGACTACAGGAGCCTGCCACAATGCCTGGCTCTTTTTAGAGATGGGGTCTCACTCTTGCTCAGGTTGGTCTTGAACTCATGACCTGAAGCAATCCACCCACCCTCCCAGAGTACTAGGATTACAGACATGAGCCACCACACCTGGCCTTGGGATCTCCTATTTCAGGCAGACAAAGGAATATGACCCCATTGCTCTAGGCCTTTCTATCTCAGTGGAAAGGGAGCACCTTGGTACAAATAGCACCAGAAAAAAAGCCCAGGGGTGGCCCTCATTGGCTGGTTGAGTCATGTGCCCATTGCCGAGCCAGTCATGGTATCCCTCACTGCTTATCCATGGATCCTGGGGGTGGGGGGCACCTAAGCCATGTGGCCTTTGAGGGAGGAACAGGATGCTTCCCAGAGGAAGTGCTGAACTCTCAAACTAGGAAAGGGGGTGCTGGGTGTGCAGAATGTCAGCTTCTCCAAGGCCCCTGGGAGAAGCTGCCCTAATGATTCATAATAGTACTAACAGCTGTTCTTTAGCAAACAAGGAGAGCTTGGGGGAGGGGGAGCCAGGTGCATTTTTCTTCTTGCCCTGTTATCCTGGGTGAGTGGGGTGAGTGATGTCACTCCTCAGCTTCCCTGTCTGTGAAATGGTATAATAATAATCCCCCCCTCTAGAACCCTTGTGAATTTCCCACATACAGTTAGTACTTGTCACTGCTTTGGCTGACAACTTTCAGGTCAACCCTTTTTACAGCTGAAGGAACATGCTCAAGGAGAGGATTGACTTGTCCTGTGTCACATAGCCAAGAAGTGGCTGAGCCAGGATCTGAACTGAGGTTGGCTTGAACCTGCTACCACAGGGCCCAAAGGTGGGACCCAAATTCTTATCCCACCTGGAAGGTCAGGTAGGCAGAGCTGTACTGACAGACCAAAGGGTGGGGACCCAGCTGTGTTTTCTCACTGCCACATGTTGTCGGCCAGCTGTAGACACCACCCCTCTGTTCTGTATCCATCTCAAACACTCAGCCTTGTGGTTCTGGCCCCCAGCCAGAGGCCCTGCCTGGCCCAGCCTTAGAATTTCTGAAGGGCGGCTCGACGCCTGTGGCTCAAGCGGCTAGGGCGCCAGCCACATACACCTAAGGTGGCGGGTTCGAATCCCCAGCCCGGGCCC